TAGGTGGGTGGGGTTAGGGAGGTGGGAAAGGAGGGGAATAGAGGGAGAGAGAAGGGGGGGAAGGGGGGACGTAAGAGAAAGAGAGCAGAAAACGAGGGAAGGAGGGAGGGAAATTAAGTACTAGGCGTTTGGGGGTATCGTCGGGGTTGGATATGGAGGGAACCCATTAAGCAGGCTGAATTTCGAATGGGCCAACACCACGCATCGGGACGATCTCCTTCTTCCTCAATTTTGCCCTTGTATGTTTATTTTTTTTTCTCAAATGATAAGTGTCACACATGTGATATGAAGTGACAATGTGACATGATTCAAACGCTTTCGTTATCATTCATTTTGCCACATCAAAAAGATCGACAGATCGTCAAACAGATGACATCGGTGGATTTTTTTGGTTTGTCAGACTTAAAAATGTTTTATCTTTTAAATAAAAAACTGATTAAAAATTTGTTTTCATCATTAAATCCGTCTCGAATGGATCTTCAAAACTAGATCTCGTATATATGTTTCAATGACTTTTTTGCCAAAACTTGTTATGATGTTACACTAAAGTTGTCATAGTGTTTACAATAAAGTTGCCATGATATGTTTCATCTTTTTTTCTAGATTTATAGCTACCATTGTATTTCAACTATTTTTCTCAGTAAATTTTATTAATTGATCATGGCAATTTATAATAATTAACCACAACAAATTTAATTCATGAATCATGGCTATTTTTAGTAACTCATCATGTCAACTTTAGTTTATAAATCATGGCAATTTTAGTATTTTGACCATGGAAATTAATTTTTCTATGAACCATGGAAAATTTTAGTGCATGTATCATGGCAAATTTAAGTAATTCATCATGGCAATTTTAGTTTCTGGTTCATGGCAAATTTAAGTCATTGAATATGCAGTTTTAAAGTAATTAACGATGGATTTCTTGTTAATTGTGAACCATGTCAAAATTATTTCATGGATCATGGCAAATTTTAGTAATTCTCCTTGGCAAGTATAGTTTCTTAATCCTCTTTTTTATAACATGTCAAAAATTACTTTAAACGTAGAAGAAAAAGTAGTTGAAACATATCGTAACAACTTCAGTGTAAACACCATGACAATTTATGTGCAATAGACATGTTAACTTTTGACCGCCAAAATATCATCAAAACATATTGGTATGGGATCTAATTTTGAAGTCCTCATCACAATGAATTTAGTGGTGAAAACAGATTTTCAATCTGATTTTTCATTTAAGAGATAAAATATTTTAAAGTTTGAAAACTCCAAGATTCCCGCTCATATCATCTGCTTTTGCCCATGTTTGCATGCATGTGTGAAAGAAATAAAAAGGGTGGCGTGTCACGATGGGTGACTAGTAGGGCGTTCGGCCCCACCTCCTTCAGCTCACACATGTGGCACTTATCATAGTCTTTTTAACACAGTACAGCAGATGCCCATGTACATGCACATACACTCATCCTATGAACGCATGCACACCCACTCTACCCCTGTGAACAGACCCAGACATGGGCTCAACTTTTCCGCCTAAAAGCCCGAAGATAAGCCCGAACGAGACATAAATCATTATTTTATTAGATATATAGGTATAATATATATTTTAAATATCCTGAGATCATTATTTTAATCAAAAAAGTTCATGTGTTTTGGGTCGGCTGGGCCGGACTCGCACTTGAGATTTTGGGGTTGGGCTTTGAAAAGCCCGGCTGTCACAATCCAAAATTTCCTAAATTCTGGATGTGAACCTACAAGCATGTGCACTCATGATTTACCTTGTATATTTGGGTTTTTAAAACTAACATGACCAACTCTTGAATTCAAATTTAATTTTGAGTTTATTCGGAGGCCATGAAAGTTTCACCAAAAATGATTTTCTGAAAATGCATAAGGGCAGAAAAGAAATTTCCTAAGATTAATATTTGCCCTCTTTTGTTTGTGTGGACCCCGGTTTGGAAAAAAATTAATTTGTGGAATTAAACTATGGGTAAAACTCTGATAAAAGAAACAAAAAGATAAAAAGATAAAAAGAAAATAAATAACCTTGCAAATAGGCCCATTAGTTATTGACAAAATTAGTTTGTCAAAATTCTTTGAGAAAAAGTCTAAGCAATCAGGAATATTTCAAAGGAGTTTTAGGAGGAGTTTTATTTTTTAAGGAAATTCAATTTAAATTCTAAATTCTAAAACAGAGAGCAGAACAGAAAACAAGAAAAAGAAAAAGAGAAAAAGGTGCGACCAGCCAGCCACCTGGCCCAGCCGCACGCACTCTCTCACTCTTTCTCTCTCTCCCTCTCACTAACGAGCGAGCCCCACATGTCAGCTTCACCCCAACCTCGCACAACCATCGCTGCCCCACGCGCGCCTGAACGCACGTCCACGCGCTCCGGCCGCTCCCCAACCCCCACGGCCATGCCCGTTAAATACCCCCGGACCCTAATACGTCTCCATCGTATCTACTTTTCCAAACTCTTTTGACCTTGTTTTGGACTCTAATTTGCATGATTTGAATGAAACTAACCCAGATTGACGTTGTTTTCGGTAGAATTGTCATGGTGTTATTTTTGGGTAGAGTTCTCGGATTGACCTAGAAATTTATGGAGAATATTTCTGAAATATAAAAAAAATATTGGCGGAAAAAGATACCGGAGGGGAGCCACCTAGGATCCACGAGCCCTGGGGGCACGCCTACCCCCGGGGCACACCCCTGGCTTGTGGGACCCCTAGATCGTCTAGAACCCTGACTCCAACTCCATATATACCTATTCACGAAGAAAATAATCAGAGAGAAGGATTCATCGTGTTTTACGATACGGAGCCGCCGCCACCTCCTGTTCTTCAACGCGAGGGTTGATCTAGATTCTGTTTGAAGCTCTGGATGGTGGAATCCATCGCCATCGCATCATCAACCTTCCTCCATTGCCAATTCCATGATGCTCACTGCCATGAGTGAGTAATTCCATCATAGGTTTGCTGGATGGTGATGGGTTGGATGAGATTTATCATGTAATCAAGTTAGTTTGTTAGGGTTTGATCCCTCATATTGATGTAGGGTAGAACCCTAGAGGCCGATCTTTCATGATTAGAGCGGATCCCTACGAAGAACACGAAGAACACAAGGAAGGGAACGTGGGAAGAAACACGAGAGAATACTCAACCAACAAGAATAAAGTCACACATGTGCTAGATCACCGAAACACAGAAGGGTATAAGATCCAAATCCAACAAGGGACGATACATAGGGTAACCGGTTCTTCCCCGTGAGGAGGTCTTGAAGATGGTCTTCTCCGAGAGGAGGTCTTGAATCCAAGTGGATCTTCTCTAAAGAGGTGTCGGTCCCTCGCGATGGAGTAGATCCGGATGGATGAGTGAGGCTCTATCTCACAAATGAGCTAAATCAACACTAACCCTAGCTAGGAGGTGGGAGAGGTCTATTTATAGTCTAAGTGGACGAAAAGGTAAGTGTCTTCGGCCCAACACACGGGCGGACGCATAGGCGTCGGACGTCCTACTGTCACCGGTCGTCCGAAGGCTCATGAGGGTTCGGACGTCCGGTGCCAGTTGGGCGTCCGATGTTTCGGTTCTGGACAACAATTGTCGGTCGTCCGGAAGTCTCCGTTCTTCCGCTGTTTTGGCTCGGGAGTGGTTGTGCCGGTCGTCCGGAGAGGCTTGGTCGTCTGGGCGCTGGGAGGTCTCGGACGTCGGGTCGGCATCGGCCGTCCGACCGTTGCAGCGTGCGAAGGCTGGGACTTGGCTGGTCGTTTGGAGCTTCCAGGCGTCGGTCGTCCGGTCGGCGTCGAACGTCCGGTCAGCGCCGGTCGTCCGAAGACTGGGAGTTTCGAGCGGGCCTTCCTCTTGTCCGTTGAACTTGGTGTCCTCGCCGTCTTGTCCATTGGGTGTAGCTAATCCGTGACTCTCCTCCAAACACCTGATAACACATAGCATCTCGGACTTAGGCAGTAGCCATGTCTCACATGAAGAAGAGGGGAACTCAAGTAGGAGTGATGTCACCTCGGATTGAATAGCACGAGCTCTCGCTCTTGTCATGGGTCCAAGTGGTAACGAAGGGGATGTAGGTCCGTCCATGTGGATGATCATGGGATGCTCTACATCATCCCCCCCCCTTGGGAAAGATCCGACCTCGGATCGAAAGCTTCATCACCATGGTATGGCGAGAGGTCCTTGACATTGAAGATGTCGCTCATGTTGTATTTGTCGTGTGGGAGGTCGATCTTGTAAGCGTTGTTGTTGTAGCATACTAGCACCTTGAAGGGTCCGTCGGCTCGAGGTAGAAGTTTGGACTTGTGTTCGTTGGGGAAGCGGTCCTTTCGAAGGTG